TATCCCCTGTGTGCCTTGTCGACTCAGTTCACTCTTTCGAAAGCTGTAAACTGCATTTGCATGCGAATTTTTATTCGCGCCGTGGAACTTGTCAAAGTTTGTAAAAAATTTTGAGATTCGTCGGGTCTCCCTTTCTATCCGTAGTGTAATTCCATGAAACATCAGTAGGATCGTTTTCTCAAGTACCGATTTGGAAAGTAGAGATTTCAAGCTGTAAAATGCTTTTTTGAACATCTCGATACGATCATTTTTGACGAAGTTACATTCTCTTGAATTTTGCTTATTTTTGGAGGGTAGAGTAAGTGATACTTTAATTTTGTTGAGAAGTGTATTATAATAGGATTATTATAATTTTAATAAATACGTTTTTTTTTGCAGAAACTGCTATGGGTAACTCTCTACAAGACCTCGGTGCATTCCAGCAACAATATCGAAAAGCAGTTCATCGAATTGGCGAACTTTTTATTTACAGGTAATTTTTCAATATAATAATGTATTAATAACAGTACATTATATAGTATATGTTGTTTTAAGGTAATACATAACATGATATATAGCATTTATCATTTTGTGATAAATTGCTTTAAATTTCCTGCTTTGAATAATATTTAATGTAAAACGTATTACATATAATAATTAGCAAATCTATTCGTAGAATGCTATTAATTAAACTATTTATTTAAAAATAAATAGTTCAATTAATTATATTAATTATATTATTTATTATTTAATATGATATGTACTGAAATGTTGTGAAAATACACAACAAATCAAACGTAAAGATGTTTCATTATATTTAATTTTAAAATGTAAAATATAAAATGAAGAAAAATACAATTTTAATACATATCTTTATATGCGTTCATTAAATATATTATATCTCTTCAGCATAATTATTATAAATTAATTTCTTTTTTATGCAATTATCACTAATCGTCGGAGTATTAAAATAGAATTAAAAAAAAAAAATTTTTACAAAACTGCTTTTTACTTTCATTATCTTAAAATAGTGTTTGTCATTTAATATTATGATTTAGATTATTGAGGCAATGGCTGCACAACGATTGGATATACTCATTGACGTCAAAAGGCAAAGAACAAAATAAGACTCTGAAGATACTACATGAATTTACCAAACGAGTATGTAAAAGTATAAGCTAAGCTACTTAATATTGTATCTAAACATTATCTATTTGAGAAGTTACAATAAAAGCAAATTAATATTGTATAAAAATATTAATTTGCAAATATAATTAACAAGATGTTATTATAGTTAGATTAATGCATTTATATAATTATAGAGAAAGAATTAAAGTTGTACTGTTGTAGATTATTACGGAACGGAAACTTTATCACGAACGCACTAATGGTCAATTTTTGAAAAATTTTGATAATATTAAATGGACAAAAGAAAATGATGTAGAAACGATGGGAAGTACGTAATCGGAAGCAGTATCTTAAATCTTTAGTTTAAAATCATAAATTATTTTTTAACAATTTATTAATAAACAATATACATAAAATTTTACAATAAACATAGTCAAAGATCTATAAAGTAAGTTTACAAAAAAATTATAAAAAATTAATTAATATAGATAAATACTAATTGTAAGTTAATGATAATTATGCACTTTAATATTTTTATTTAGTTCGAAAAAAACGGCTTGCATTGTTGGATCTTCTAATAGCAGCGTCTCGAGAAGGGCTTTTGACTGATTTAGATATCAGGCAGGAAGTTGATACCTTTATGTTTGAGGTATGCTTTAGTAGATTTTTCTGTTTTTTTTCGAATATTATGTATGATGTAAATGACGTGATTACAGGGTCATGATACTACAGCGATGGGTATATGTTTTTTATTATCACTTTTGGCTGAGCACAAAGACATTCAGGTATTTTTTTTTTCTTAAATTATACTCTGGTGAAAAAATTCTCATGTCTTATAAATTCTCATAATATTCAGACACACGTACACAATTAAAATAGTTTGAAGTTACAGATATAAGAAATTTTAGAAAAAATGTAGACTTATTTTTAAGCACTTTTAAAAACTATTTAATTTTGTATAAAAAAATTTGAAAAATTTTCTAAAAGAATATAAAATTATACAGAAATTTTGAAAAATTTACAAATTTAGTTAATATATAGGTTGGGAAGTAATGCGTTACTTGTAACGCCGTTACTATTTTCGTTACTTTTCTCTTTACCATTTACATTACTTTTTTCTCTCTGTAACAGTAACGGTAACGTCGTTTCATTTTTGCACTAACGGTAACGAATTTGCCGTTACTTTTTTATACTATCAAATACATCCTAGAATTTGTTAAGAATAAGTAAATCAACAATAGAGAAGTAACGCCAATGCGAGCCAACACGGATGTTGGTATGTAATAATTTTTATATAATAATATCCAGCCACACGCAAATTGTTTCTTATACTTTATTTTTTTATTCTATAATATATTTTTAATGTATTTTTGTTTAAATATTTTCTATTCTATATCTTTTAGGCTACATTCTCGTTGTCATTATCAGTGGAAAATCTATAATTTACATTACATGGTATTTAACGTATGGTCCACTTGACTGGTAGACAGAAGACACAAAGATAATTATGATAAAATAATGTGTCTGATAAACATTTATTTTAGTTTCCGAATTGTAGTCATATTTGTATTGTGGTTGCTATTTGTATTCAGATATACCTTTATAAGATGTAAAATAATTATTTTCGACCTAAATGCAAGCATGCAGTCGTCGCCATGTAAATTATCGCACATTTTCAATAAACTGAGTATTTGTCGGATTTGTTAATTATTGGCAGTCTTCTTATATGTGACAAAGTATTTCAATGCTGACAATAATGGGATGGAATAAACAATTGTTTTTATATCTTCCACAAATAAAAATCTAATAGATTTAAGTCTGTAAGGGAATGCGCAGGCTAACCAATAAGTCCTGCACGATTTATCCATTTGTCAGAAAAATGTTTATTAAAAAATTGCTGCCAACAAATCCGACGAATATCCGATATTTTTGAAAAT